CGTGGGATCCTCCCGGACCGGGGCACGAACCCGTATCCCCTGCATCGGCAGGCGGACTCTCAACCACTGCGCCACCAGGGAAGCCCTGCTTTTAATATTTCTGATTAAATCTTAAGACTAAATAGTATTTGAATAAATTATTCTTAAAATGGAAATTTAAGAAATTTTAAAAAGGGCTTTCCCGGTGGCGCAGTGGTTGAGAGTCTGCCTGCTGATGCAGGGGACACAGGTTCGTGCCCCAGACCGGGAAGATCCCACATGCCGCGGAGCAGCTAGGCCCATGAGCCATGGCCGCTGAGCCTGCACATCCGAAGCTTGTGCTCCGCAACGGGAGAGGCCACAACAGTGAGAGGCCCACATAATGCAAAAAAAAAAAAAAAGAAAGAAATTTTAAAAAGAGCTTATGATATTGCACTTCCTTTCAACTTAATCAGCATGTTATTTGCACCCTAATCCCTTCGTGACTTTCCAAGATATGTACAATTTATCAAACACATTTTGAGGATTTCCTATATGAAACAAAATATGAAGGTTTACAAATATGGGTAATCCATGGATTCTGTCTGATGTTTAGGAGAGACATGGACAAAATCAACCACAGCATAATGCAGAATATCCTAACTGTTTTTAATAGTCACTAGAGCACACAGCAAGGAGAGAAATTCTGACTGAGAGTGGGTATCATCAGGGGGTCTTCATGGAGGAGGTAGTATTTTTATCTGAGTTTTAAGGATTGAGTAGGATTTGAGAAACAAGTGGGAAATTGTATGACTGAAGGCACAAAGCATGTTCTGGGGTCAGTGAGTAGTTTTGACATGCTTGGGCACAGCTCTCAGTTGGAGACAGGTGAGTGTGGTAGTAGATAAGATTGGAAAAGTGGACAGAAGTCATCAAGAGAGACTTGGATCTCTTTTGGAATTTTATCCTGTAGGCGAAAGGAAACCATTAAAGAATTTTAAACTTGAAAGTAACAAGATCATAGCTGTGCCTTTAATATGAGTGGAAAATGGATTGTTGCTAAAATATGGATGAAAACATTTAGTTTGGTTCTTGTTCACCTTTTATTAACCTCATTCTCATAGTGGTTCTTCCCACTTCATTCTCAAATAAATTTAGAAAAGGGGACAGGGAATAGTTTCATTTTTATTTTAAGTGAAGAGGCAAAAAGAGAAGTAAGGAGCAAAGGAATGATTCCTTCTTCCTATGGTAGTGTTTCTAATGGAAAAACATAGTTCATTTTGTAAGAACACTACACAGGTTGTTACTGGCAGATATTCTCATTTTTGTTTCAGTAAACTTCATTCTCAAGAAATGATGTTAGGGTCACTTTAAAAAATTTTGCATGGTTAGTATGTTGTTAAATTGAGATAATTACTCAGTTTGTCTTTAGTATCTTATCTCTTATGAAAGTTGTTATGGAATATTTTATTCATTTGCCCTGCAACATTTATTTACTAAGTGTCAGGCACAATCTCTACCCTCCTGGAGCTTATGTGCTCAGAGGGAGGAAAGATTTTAAACAGACAATTATAGTTATTTAATCAGAATCCCAGTAAGTACTATGAGGGAAAAGAATAGGGTATTATGAGGGCATATATCAGCGGACTTGGCTAGTCTTAGAGATCAGGTAAGTGTTTAAGGAAGAGATATTTAAGCCAAGATCTAATGTTGTGGTGGGGATTATCTAGTTGAACAGCTGGTATAAAGACCTGAGTTGGGAAGGAGCATGGCATCTTTGAGGAATTAAGTGGAGGGAGGCAAGTATGGCTGGTGTAACAAGTAGTATAAGACTGGGGAGATAGGCAGAAGTGAGACCACACAGGCATGGCAAGGATTTTAGATGTAATCTAAGTACAGTGAGTGGCTATTTAAAATAAGGTTTTAAGTCGGTGGTTGGATTTGTGCTTTAAAATGATTACTCTTGTAACTGTGTGGAGAAATAAATTTTCTGGTTTGAGCAACTTACTTGCATAGTGTCACACCCATGTGTTTGTGGGGCGAAATCATGAATTCTCTTTTGGCCGTTTTAGGTTTGTGGTATATGTGAGACACTCACATGAAGATATTGAGTAGGCAGTTGGTGATGTAGAAATGGAACATTAGGTATGCCCAGGTCTGGGTTTTATGTTTTAGAGTGAACTTTTCATATACAGAACATATCAGGGTATTGAAAGTGTGGAATCAAGAGGACGTAAGTGCCAAGTGCCTTCTAAGAAATCTTGACATTGGATAATTTACAAGTAGATGTTTTGGTAGATGTTGTCTCCACACAGTGATGGTTCTTTTATCACAACTTGATATCAAGAACTGAGGTTACTGTGCTCCTGGATTTTGACAAAAGTATGTTTTTCTCTGTTTTTGTTGATATAGATTGATCGTACTAAAAAACCGGCAGTCAAATCGCCTGAAGATCATAGAATAAAATCTGAAATTACAGATCATGAGCAACAGTCTCCTCAGAATGGAAAAGTTGTTCCTGATCGGTCCACAAAACCGGTATTTCCCCTTCCAACTGCCATGTTAACAGATGAAGAAAAAGCTCGTATTCATGCGGAAACTGCTCTTCTAATGGAGAAAAACAAACAAGAAAAAGAACTTAGAGAAAGGCAGCAAGAGGAACAGAAAGAGAAACTGAGGAAAGAAGAAGAACAAAAAGACAGAAAGAAACAAGAAGCTGAAGAAAATGAAATCACAGAGAAGCAACAAAAAGCAAAAGAACAAATGGAAAAGAAAGAAAGTGAACAGGCCAAGAAAGAAGATAAAGAAGCCTCAGCAAAGAAGGGCAGAGAAATAACAGGAGTAAAAAGACAAAGTAAAAGTGAACATGAAACTACTGATGCCAAGAAATCTGTGGAAGATAGGGGGAAAAGGTGTCCAACCCCAGAAGTGCAGAAAAAGTCAACAGGAGATGTGCCCCATGCCTCTGTGGCAGGAGATTCCAGTTCAGGCAAGGTAAGCAGAAACAAACGGTACAAGTTGCCAAGTAAGTGTAATAAAATGTATATAAATAAATAATCAAATGTATATAAAAAGATGACACCAGTAGCATTCCATAAACAGGGCAGGCATTTTAAGTAATTTTCTTAGGAGATGATAGATTTGTACTGATCCACCTACATTGCTTACCTACTCTTATTTGATTGGTTGGGAATGGAATTGCTTTTTGTGTCTGTGAAATGCAACATATTTTTGATAATTGAGATAAATAGCTACGTTCTTCATTTTTTTTTAAATAAATTTATTTATTTTTGGCTGCATTGGGTCTTCGTTGCTGCGCATGGGCTTTTCTCTAGTTGCAGCGAGCAGGGGCTACTCTTTGTTGCAGTGCTCGGGCTTCTCATTGTGGTGGCTTCTCTTGTTGAGAAGCACGGGCTCTAGGCGCAAGGGCTTCAGTAGTTGTGGCGCATGGGCTCGGTAGTTGTGGCTCACGGGCTCTAGAGCACAGGCTCAGCAGTTGTGGCCCATGGGCTAAGTGGCTCCATGGCATGTGGAATCTTCCCAGACCAGGGCTTAAACCCATGTCCCCTGCATTGGCAGGCAGATTCTTAACCACTGCACCACCAGGGTAGTTCTACATTCTTTATTTTTATTCTTGATGTATGATCATCAGAAGACTAGAATGAAATATAATACGATCTCCGATTGGAGGAATTTGCTGCCAAATATTTATATAATGAAGTTTGTCTCTGCTTAGAATATGTCCAAAATCAGTGACATCTGAATGAACCAACATTTATCTTTGTGTATAATGATTTTTTTTGTCAGGTTTATGTCATTTTGTTTGTTGATTCATCTAGTCAATAATCTTAGCAATAACCCCATTAATGTTCCCTTTTTCTGCCCTTGGCTATTCCCCAACATTGATTTTCATAATTTTGGAGGAGATTTTTGTTTTCTTTTTTTTTTTTGGCTTCCCCATGCAGCTTTCAGGATCTCAGTTCCCAGACCAGGGATTGAACCTGGCCACAGCAGTGAAAGCACCAGATCCTAACCACTAGACCACCAGGAAAGTCCCTTGGAGATTTTTTTTTAACCTAATAATATCATGTATGCTTTTCATGGGCTTCTCTTTTGCCTTTTTGTTTTATTTTGTTGCTCTTGTTGTTGTCTATTATGCAATTAACAATGCCTTTCCCTTTTGAACACTAAACTAAATAAGTGTTTTGGTTTTTTTTAATCCTACTTTATTTTTTTCCTTCTAGTTATATTGAGATATTAATGACATACAGCACTATATAAGTTTAAGATGTACAGCATAATGATTTGACTTACATACATCATGAAATAATTATCACAGTAAATTTAATGAACACCCGTCATCTCATAGAGATACAAAATTAAAGAAACAGTAAAAAAAAATTATGTGGTAAGAACTCTTAGGATTCACTTTCTTAACATCTTTCATGTGTAACGTACAGCAGTGTTGAGTATATTTGTCATGTCGTACATTACATCCCCAGTACTTACTTACCTTATAACTGGAAGTTTGTACCTTACAACTACCTTCATCCAGTTCCCCCTACTCCCACCTCCCACCTCCGAGAACCACAAATCTGATCTTTTTTCCTATGTGTTTGTTTGTTTTTGAAGTATAAATGATTTATAACACTCTGTTAGTTCCTGTTACACAACATAGCAATTTGGTATTTCTATACATTTCAAAATGATCACCGTAATAAGTCTAGTTACGATATGTCACCATACAAGGATACATAGCTATTGACTATATTCCCCACACTGTATATATTTCATCCCTGTGACATTTATTTTGCAACTGCAAGTTTATACCTCTTAATCTCCCTCACCTATTTCTTTCCTCCCCACACTGTCCTCCCCTATGGCAACCACCTGTTTGTTCTCTGTATCTATAACTGTTTCTGTTTTATGTTTGTTCATGTTTTTTAGATTCTACATGTAAGCGAAATCATACAATATTTTATCTTTTGGGGGCTGACTTATTTCACTTAGCATACTACCTACCCTCTAGGTCCATCCATGTTGTCACAAGTGGCAAGATTTCATTCTTTTTTTTTTTTTAATGGCTGACGACTAATGGGCACCTGGGTTGCTTCCATATCTTGGCTATTATAAATAATGCTGCAATGAATATAGGGGTACATATTTCTTTTCTAATTACTGTTTTTGGTTTCTTTGGATAAATAACCAGGAGTGGAATTGCTGGATCATATGGTAGTTCTATTTTTCAGTTTTTAAGGAATCTCCATACTGTTTTTCATAGCGACTGTACCAATTTACATTCCCACCAACAGTGTTGTAGTAAGGCTCCTTTTTCTCCACATTCTTGCCAATACTTGTTATTTGTGGTCTTTTTGATAATAGCCATTTTGACAGGTGTGAGGTAATATCTCATTGTGGTTTTGATTTGCATTTCCCTGATGACTGGTGATGTTGAGCATCTTTTCATGTGCCTGTTGGCCATCTGTATGTGTTCTTCAGAAAAATGTCTATTCAGATCTTCTGCTCATTTTTAAATCAGGTTTTTTGTTTCTTTGATGTTGAGCTGTCTGAGTTCTTTACAAATTTGGATATTAACCCCTTATCAGATATTATCATTTGCAAGTATCTTATCCCATTCAGTAGGTGGCCTTTTCATTTTGTTGATAGTTTCCTTCTCTGTGCAAAAGCTTTTTAATTTGATATAGTCAAAATTTGTTTATTTTTGCTTTTGTTTCCTTTGCCTGAGGAGACATATGCAAAAAAATATTACTAAGACCAATGTCAAAGAGTGTTCTGCCTGTGTTTTCTTCTAGAAGTTTTATGATTTCAGGTCTTACATTTAAGTCTTTAATCCATTTTGAATTTATTTTTGTGCATGTTGTAGGAGAATAGTCTAGTTTGATTCTTCTGCATGTAGCTGTCCAGTTTTTCCAACAGCATTTTTGTTTTGTTTTTTGGGTTTCTTTTGTTTGTTTTACATCTTCTCTCTTGGTTTTTTTGTTTAGTTGGTTGGTTTTGGTTTTGGTTTTTTGGGGGCTGCTTCACACAGCTTGCGGGATCTTAGTTCCCCAACCAAGGATTGCACCCGGGGCCACTGCAGTGAAAGCGTGGAGTCCTGACCGTTGGACCACCAGGGAACTCCTGGCTTATTTTTAATATTAATAAAATGTCAGTGCTCTTTGAATGCTGAACTTTATAATGCATACATACTTTGAATTATTTCATCCAATAAAAAGAAGTGTGGAAAAAAATTACTTGCTTCCTTATGTATCTCAAAGACCTGATCCATCAACACCATCATTTATTGAAGAGGTTGTCTTTTCCCCATTGTATATTCTTCCTCCCTTGTCATAGATTAATTGACCATATAAGTGTGTGTTCATTTCTGGCCTCTCTGTTCTGTTCCATTGATCTGTGTGGCTGTTTTTGTGCCAGTACCATACTGGTTTGATGACTGTAGGTTTGTAGTTGAAGTCAGGGGGCATGATTCCTCCAGTTCTGTTCTTTCCCAAGATTGCTTTGTTTATTTGGGGTCTTCTGTGTTTCTGTAAACATTTTAGATTATTTGTTCTAGTTCTGTGGAAAATGCCATTGGTGTCTTTTTTGTTTTGTTTTTTTCTTTTTTCTTATTAATACAGTATTTATTTGTCTTCCTTCTGTCAAACCCTGAGCCAACCCCTTTCCCCAGGCTGCCTGGGGTGGTACAGGAAAAGGAACATACAGGGCAGACAAGACACAGGAGAAAGAACTATGGGAGGTGGAAACAGCCCCTTCACATGGCGAAGAGGATGAGAAAGGCCACCATCAGGCAAAAGAGTCCCATGGCTTTCGAGAGGCAAAGCCCAGAATGGTGTAGGAGAAGAGCTGTTGCTTCAGAGAAGGGTTCCTGGCATAACCAATGATGAGGCCCCAAACACAGTCCCAATTCCAGCCCCAGAGCCAGCCACCCCTACTGTGGCAGCCCCAGCTCCAGTGAACTTGGCTGCTGTGTCAGTGTCCCTCGAAATGGCACTGGTTTGGAAGCAGCGACTAGGAATAAGTGAGGTGGTCAGGGGACTCGGGGCTGCCAAGATGCTGTGGCTCTCATCTGTCAGCATCTCCAGTCGTTTCAGCACCACTGCAGTGATCAGCTTATTAGTGGAGAGGTTCTCCTGATCAAGGAGGGGATGGAGACGAACTTGGCACACGTGTACATTTTCAGGGGCTGAAGGGCCATGGCAGGAGAGCTGCTCCCAGTGCAGAGAAGACAATAGAGAGCACCATTGGTGTTTTGATAGAGATTTCATTGAATCTGTAGATTGCCTTGGGTAGAAAGGACATTTTAATAATATTAATTCTTCCAATCCATGAACACAGTATTATCTTTTCATCTGTTTGGGTCATCCTCAATTATCTTTCATCAGTGTCATAGTTTTCCAAGTACAGGTCTTTTACTTCCTTAGTTAGATTTATTCCTATATATTTTATTCTTTTTTTAATATTTATTTTCTTTATTTAAAAAAAATTTTTTTTGGCTGCATCAGGTATTAGTTGTAGCATGTGGGATCTCTCGTTGCAGCACAGGCTCTTCGTTGTGGTGTGGGCTTGTTCTCTCTAGTTGTGGCATGTGGGCTCCAGGGCATAAGGGCTCTGAGGTTGTGGTGTGTGGGCTCCAGAGCACATGGGCTCTGTGGTTTGTGCCATGCAGGCTCTCTCGTTGAGGTGTGTGAGCTCAGTAGTTGTGACACGCAGGCTTAGTTGCCCTGCGGCATGTGGGATCTTAGTTCCCTGACCAGGGATCGAACCCACATCCCCTGCATTGGAAGGCGGATTCTTTATCACTGGACCACCAGGGAAGTCCCTATTTTATTCTTTTTGATGCAATTGTAAATGGGATTGTTTTCTTAATTTCTTTCTGGTAGTTCATTATTAGTGTATACAAACGCAACAGATTTCTGTATATGAGTTTTGTATACTGCAACTTTACCAAATTCATTGATGAGCTCTAGTAGTTTTTTGGTGGCATCTTTAGGATTTTCTATATATAGTATCATGTCATCTTCTAACAAATAAGTTTTTATAATAGCAAGAACAGCTATAGCCCTTTTTACATTTCATATAAATGGAAATATATTTTTGGTAGTGTGAAAATGAATTGTAATTGGAGGCGAAATACTGTCTTTATTGAACATCAATTTCTATACTTCTCAAGCAGCAGTTTATGCATATACCAAAATTAACAATTCATATTAGTGCCACATTTATGCACAGAACGCTTAACCTAGTAACTTTAATTATCAAAGATGTAGGTCCCATGCAAAAGCCTTCTAAACATCCAAAGTAAGGAAAATGAAGCTCATGTTCTAAAATTCTCTAACTTTATTCATAGAAGAATCAGAACTTAGGAGCTCATACCATTTAAATATTATTCATTCTGTAGCTAGTATATGCCAGGTATTTCTTCTATTAATATGTAATCTTACTTGTTCCTTCTAATGATAACTCTATGAGGAATTCAATTTACAGATGAAATTGAAGCTTAGAGGTTAAGTAAGTTGCCTGTGAATCACATATGCAGTTAAATTCCAAAGCCACCTTCTATCCAGAGGCAGGTAGTCTTAAGAATTTAAAGCATTCGTATTTCTGGGGTCATTTAGTATAGGTGTCAAATATGCATACAAGTCTAAATAGCCCTGAGATGATCCCATGTAGTTTTTTAATGTTTCCTATAATGTAACACACTGAAGGAAAAGTTAAGATTGCATTCATTGTATGATCCTTTTAAAAGTAGGCAAAATGTGTGATTTATTCTGGAATAAATTTTATTTAAATTATCACACTTTTAAGTTTTTACTTTACTGTAGTTATTTTTTAAATCTATAAAATTAAACTGAATTTCTTAAAGCATCTATGAGAAGTTCTAAGAGGATATAAAATGAATTTTGCACTCCTGAATATTGCTCTGTATGAAATTCTATAATAGCTTCATTCTGTTTAATACGTTAATGATTTTAGATCACTACCACTTTCAAGATAGCCAAAATCATAAGAGATTTAAATAAAAGGATAATGTTCACAAGAGGCCATGGTGTGTGTACACTAATGACCTAGCATCTTATACTTGGCCATGTATTATGAATCACTGCTTCATAATCCACTGTGATTGACATCTCTTCCCCACCACTGATTCATCAAAGTTTCTTAGTTCTTTACCTTTGGAGTTAGGAAATCCCACATGGGCCCCGCCACCTTTAATTTTAAGTGTCTAATTTGACAATAAACTCAAATAAACTTTTCAGAGCCTCTTTTTTTTCCCCTCTTTTTACATTTGCAGTCTGATGGATTTGCTTGTATTAGCTAGTGATAGGTAGGTTTTTGTTGGGGAAAAGTTAAAATTTTGTTTCACTTCTGATTTTAATAATTTTATAGCCTGTTAAGATTAAAGGACAACCAGAAAGTGGAATTCTAAAGACTGGAACTTTTAGAGAGAATACAGAAGGCACTGAAGAAATAAAGTAAGCAACAGTTCATTGGATAGGAAAAGAAAATATGGATTATAACCATGTGGTTATCTCTACCATATCATCCTCCTCCATCTTAAGATCTTCTCTCTGAGGGAATCTTTGCTATCTTTGGTAGCATTTTTTGCTTGTTTTTGCATGATGGATCCACTTATATGCTAAAGGGAATAGATCCTTACCTTCCTATTTAAAGTATGATGATATGTTCTGTTCATTTTATGAAATTAAAAGATACTTAGGCCTTATTGTATGAATCTAGCAATTCTACTTCTGGATATATACCCAAAAGAATTGAAAGCAGACTCTCAAAGAGATATTTATACACCCATGTTCATAGAGTATTATTCATAATGGCCAAAGGATGGAAGCAACTCAAGTATACACTGACAGATGACTCTATAAAAAATGTGGTATGTACATACAATGGAATGTTATTCAGCTTTTAAAAAAGAAATTCTGACATGGATGAACTTTGATGACATTACCCTATAAGTGAAATAAACCAGTCACAAGAGGACAAATGTTTTTTGATTACATTTATATAGGGTACCTAGAATGGTTATATTCATAGAGACAGGAAGTAGAGTGGTGGTTGCCAGGGACCTGGGGGTTGGGAGAAGTTCGGAGTTGTTTAAATAGGTGGAGTTTTAATTTTGCAAGATGAGGAGAGTTCTGGAGAGTGGTTGCACAACAGTGTGAATATACTTAATGCCACTTACCTATACACTTAAAAATGTTCAAGATGGTAAATGTTGTATTTCATCACAATTTTTAAAATACTTAGGCCTTTTATAAGATGTCTTTGCCTTTGTTTTTATTTAAGAGTTTTCTTGAGGTATAATTTGAATACCATAAAAGTAATCCAAACTGAAATCTGATTTCAGTTCAGAGTTGTGAAACAGTTTTAATGCAATCCAATTTTAGGACATTTCCATCACACCAAAAAGATCTCTGTGCCCAGCTATTGTCACTCCCCATTCCAGGCAACCATGAATCTAATCTTTGTCTCCACAGATTTGCCTCTTCTAGGCATTTCATACAAATAATATATATATAGTCTTTTGTATATTTCTTCTTTCACCTACCGTAATTTTTTGACATTCATCTATATTGTACCACGTATCAGTAGTTTATTCCTTTTGTTGCTGAGTAGTATTCTGTTGTATGGATATAGCACATTTGATGGACATTGGATTGCTTCTGCTTTGGGGCTGTTATGAATAATGCTACTATTAACATTTGCATCTAAGTGTCTTTGTATGGAAATGTATTTTCATTTCTTTTGTGTTGACACCTAGAAGTGAAATTGTCTTTGTGTTTCTGGGTTTTTTTGTTTTTTTGGGTTTTTTTGATGAAGTCCAATTTATTATTTTTTCTTTTCTTTTATAAATTTATTTTTTCCTTTTTTCTTTTTGGCTGCATTGGGTCTTCGTTGCTGTACACGGGCTTTCTCAAGTTGCAGAGAGCAGGGGCTACTCTTCATTGTGGTGGGCGGGCTTCTCATTGCAGTGGCTTCTCTTGTGGAGCACAGGCTCTAGGGCGTGCAGGCTTCAGTAGTTGTGGCACAAGGACTCAGTAGTTGTGGCTCACGGGCTCTAGAGCTCAGGCTCAATAGTTGTGGCACACAAGCTTAGTTGCTCTGCAACATGTGGGATCTTCCCAGACCAGGGCTCGAATCTGTGTCCCCTGCATTGGCAGGTGGATTCTTAACCACTGTGCCACCAGGAAAGCCTGTGTTTCTGTTTTTTTAGAGAAACTTTTAAAAGTCACCGTTATTATAGGCTTGTGCAACACACACTCCTTCCCCTTGCTGTGATAATTTTAGGACTTTAAAAAAACATATATAAGTGGAATATTACTCAGCCGTTAAAAAAATGAAATCGAGTTATTTGTAGTGAGGTGGATGGACCTAGAGTCTGTCATACGGAGTGAAGTAAGTCAGAAAGAGAAAAACAAATACTGTAATCTAATGCATATATATGGAATCTAAAAAAAGAAAAAATGGTACTGATGAACCTAGTTGCAGGGCAGGAATAAAGAGGTAGACAGAGAATGGACTTGAGGACTTGGGGTGGGAGGGGGAAGCTGGGGTGAAGTGAAAGTAGCATCGACATATATATACTACCAAATGTAAAATAGTTGGGTGGTGGGAAGCAGCAATATAGCACAGGGAGATTGGCTTGGTGCCTAGAGGGGTGGGATAGGGAGAATGGGAGGGGGGATATGGGGACATGTGTATGCATATGGCTGATTCACTTTGTTGTGCAACAGAAACTTACACAGTATTGTGAAGCAATTATACTCCAATAAAGATCTATTATAAAAAGAAAGAAAACATGTATAGTTCTTCATCTTTGAACTTATTTCAAAAAATATTAAGGGCAGCAACACAAGGCTTTTTGGTTCTTTGGTACAAGTAGCTTAAGTTTGTATATGGCAAAATGTAATTTAAAAATCTTTTACTTTTTTGGTTTTTTTTCTTTAGTCTCGAGAGCCTTTGACAAGAGCACGAAGTGAAGAAATGGGGAGGATCGTACCAGGACTGCCTTCAGGCTGGGCCAAGGTAAAATTCAAAATTAGCGCAGAAATAAATTACGTGGTCACTGTTTTTTTAAAAAACAAAACATGTATTTGTTTATTCTGCATCTTCTCTAATGCAGAGTGGATTCTGTTTCTTCATTATAAAGGACATAACTCATTTCCCTAATTACAGCAGGGTTAGATTTTTCAGTATCCAATCTGGGATGATGGCTACAGTATATGAACATCCTGGCATTTGTCATTGAGAAACAGTGTATCTCTTTATAACCTAAAGTTGTTTGAAAGTTTAATTATAGAAGTGATTATCACCATTTTATTCAAATAATTTTAATCCAGAAGTAAATTTAGCAGTGAAATACTTTTGAGTGATTTTGTTGTTGTTGTTCACTCGATGTTCATCATTTTTTGACCTTTTTTTTTTTCCCCCATGTAAGTTTCTTGACCCTATCACTGGAACTTTTCGTTACTATCATTCGCCCACCAACACTGTTCATATGTATCCACCGGAAATGGCTCCTTCATCAGCACCTCCTTCCACCCCTCCAACTCATAAAGCCAAGCCACAGATTCCTGCCGAGCGGGATAGAGAACCATCCAAGCTGAAGCGCTCCTACTCCTCCCCAGATATAACCCAAGCCATTCAAGAGGAAGAGAAGAGGAGACCAGCAGTAACTCCAACAGTTAATCGAGAAACCAAGTAAGTTTATCCTAACTCCTAGAAACAGAATCATCTACTGTATTTGAAAACTTCTACTCTAAGCATATCAGTTTATTAATATCAGGGCGTCAGAAAATTCTGTGGATGGCTGTCCCAGCCTTTATTTACTAAAGAGGAAAAAAGAAATAAATGTCCTTGGTTTTTCTCCCAAGTGCTAACTTAAATATATCACAGAGGATTATCATACGTAATAATGTAGATATAAAAGTATACACTTTGTTAAGTTTTAAAGCAGTGTGCCATAGACTGCTTAGATGTGTTGTGGAAACTTCCTGTGATCCCTAAATCTCCTTTTGAGGACCATAATTTATAGAATTATTGAGTATGTCTTGTTGCAGCTCTTAAATTCCAAACTTTTTTTTTTTTTAACTCAGCCAGTAATGTGGGAGTAAACTTATATAGTATTAAAATAATGAGCATTATAGTGTGTATCAGCTTCTATTTACCATTTCCGATCATTAATTTTGGGGGATATAGGATAGATGGAAGTGAAAATAAATGGATTTTTCTATTTATTAAATACACTCTCTTAATTGCTAAGGAATTCTAACTAGGCTGTCTTTTTGGCCTCTTCAGAATCACCTCCGCAAAAAGTAGTTAATATATTTTCCTCATGAGAACCTTCCCTGCCAGGTAGGACTTACCTGGAGGAGATTTTGTAAAATTGGTAAATCTAGTTATAGATTTTAGGGCTCACTATTAAAGCTGGTGAGGTGTAATTCCTTCTTAAATTATCATTCTTATGAAAGTTTGTTAATTTGACAGTTTTAAAAATTACCGCATATGCAGATCATGTATTTTTTTATCTGTGTTGAACAGAGAAATAGCACATGAGTGCATACACCTGAGCCATGTGTAAAGAAAAGGTGGTTGAAATATAATCTGTTCTCAGTATTCCTTTCAGAGGTGGAAATATACTTAGGATTAATAATAAAAGAAAGACGTATCAATTAGGAGTTTTCTTAATGCTGTAGCAGTTCTAGAAGTTCCACATATAAATCAAATACACTAAGTAACAAAAGTCTTGGAGGCATTCTCTAGTCTAGTGCTGTCCAGTAGACATGTTGATAGAAAGATTCTGTATCTGTGAAGATATAAATGTTCTGTATCTGTGCTGTCCAGTATGGTAGTGCCTATTTTGAATTGTGGCTAACGTAACTAAAAAGCTAAATTTTAAATTTTATCTTAAATTTATATAGCCACCTGTGGCTAGTGGCTACTACCATATTTGTCAGCACAGCTCTAGACTTTAGGTTATAGTACCCAAATAACCTCTGCCTGCTTGATAATATACTCCACATACACTTTTTTTTTTTTTGATTCCTTGTTTGGCATTCTGGTTGAATACAACATTTGGTAATGCTAAACTTCCTGGGATCATTTAAAGAAGTTTGAAAGAGCCTTCTCTACTAGAAGACTCTACCTGTTCATGAGAAGCCAGAGAATCTATCTCAGGGTATCTGTAAAAAACCATGGACTCACATAAGAGGTTAAAGGTGTTTGTTTCATGGGAGGGTCACAGAATATAACCAGTGTTAACCTAGATACTAAATGTCCTGTAAGACCCATTACCTTATGAGCTAACTTAATAACTATTTGCAAGATTACTGAATACCCTGGTACAGATGCTGGAGTTTACTGCCCTTTGTAGTGTGAACCTTCATTTCAGGTGCTGTGCATTTTAAAGTATCTTGTACACTCTTTTCTTCCTTAGGCCAACAAGCTACCCTAAAACTGAGATAACAAGGCTTTCTGCTTCTCAAATTCGGAACCTCAATCCTGTTTTTGGAGGATCTGGACCAGCTCTCACTGGACTTCGTAATTTAGGAAATACTTGTTACATGAACTCAATACTGCAGTGCCTATGTAATACTCCACATCTGGCTGATTATTTCAACCGCAACTGTTATCAGGATGATATTAATAGGTAAAGAAATATCATACTTTTTGCAGTACAGTATTAAAAGGATGATCTAACCATGCCTCCTTACCAGCCAGTTCCAGAGATGTCAAATTAGGAAAGAGGAAAATATTCTTAAGAATAGTGTAGAAATTGCCAGGACATGGAAGCGACCTAAGTGTCCGTCGACAGGTGAATGGATAAAGAAGATGTAGCACATATATACAATGCAATATTACTCAGCCATAAAAAGAAATGAAATTGAGTTATTTGTAGTGAGGTGGATAGACCTAGAGACTGTCATACAGAGTGAAGTAAGTCAGAAAGAGAAAAACAAATACTGTATGCTAACACATATATATGGAATCTAAAAAAAAAAAAAGGTTCTGAAGAACCTAGGGGTAAGATGGGAATAAAGACACAGATGCAGAGAATAGACTTGAGGACACAGGGAGGGGGAAGGGTAAGCTGGGACGAAGTGAGAGAGTGGCATGGACTTACATACACTACCAAATGTAAAAGAGATAGCTGGAAGCAGCCGCATAGCACTGGGAGATCAGCTTGGTGCTTTGTGACCACCTAGAGGGTTGAGATAGGGAGGGTGGGAGGGAGACGCAAGAGGGGGATATATGCATACGTATAGCTGATTCACTTTGTTATACAGCAGAAAGTAACACACCACTGTAAAGCAATTATACTCCAATAAAGATGTTTAAAAAAAAAAGTGTAGAGAAAAGCCTCCTCTGATTGGTAAAGGACAGACAGGAAAGGAACAGTACAAGAAGGTGGAACCTCACTGTCATAAACTGGAGCCTGTTGATAAGGAATAGGAGACCATGCAGGGCTGGCAGCCAAAAGGAAGAAAGTTGGAGGGGTGTAATCAAAGTAAGATTCAGATAGGCATTTGGTAATAAACCTGTGAATAAGTATTTTAGTGTAGTGTAGGGTCACATATTACAGTATGTTGATGTCAAGAACCCACTGTACCTTGGCTTTTTATAATTCCTGTATTGCTTTTTTGTAACTTTAATTTTATTTGCAAAGGTCAAATTTGTTGGGGCATAAAGGTGAAGTGGCGGAAGAATTTGGCATAATCATGAAAGCCCTGTGGACAGGACAGTACAGGTATATCAGTCCGAAAGACTTTAAAATCACTATTGGGAAGATCAATGACCAGTTTGCAGGATACAGCCAGCAAGATTCACAAGAACTGCTTCTGTTCCTAATGGATGGTCTCCATGAAGATCTTAATAAAGTAAGAAATTTTTCTAAGTTGCAAAGGCCCCTTAGCGTTGCTTAACATTGTACTCATTTTTATAGCAATTTAAAATTATAGTTGGTGATTGTTCGGTGCTAATTTATTGAAACCTAGTGACTGTACTATGGCATGGAAGTTTAAAACAAATATATCTGATAGGTCTAATATTTGAAAGGAAGTATATGCAATTTGTATTTACTTTTGAAAATGTTAACAGGTTGTATTACTGCAAGAAGTTTGTAAATGTTGTAAATTTGTAAAAATAGTTGTCAGAGATGTTGTGTTTGTGACCCACATGACCAAATGATTCATGTGAAAAGTTATTACTGAGGCATCTTTGTCTGTGTACTGTGGCTTCTTTTTAGCACCAAGCTGTCCTCTTTCAGATACCTTTGGGGTCACCTTTCTTACCAGCAACCACAGACATACACAAATAGATACACACACTTATATATGTATATGTATGTGTGTGACTATATGTATGTTATGTGTGTCTATATGTGTATATGTGTGTGAAGGTAGGTAGATAGATAGGTAGGTAGGTAGGTAGGTAGGTAGGTAGATAGATAGATAGATAGATAGATAGAATGTATCCATCCATGAGACTAGGACAGCAAAATAACATCTGTCTAGTTGTAGCCCTAACTCCCAGCTATACGTGGAATGTCTTTTCAAAACCAGACTTTTCAGCTCTTTAAATAAAAATTTGTTGAGAAATCGCAACAAGTTACATCCTTTTGATAAAGTGGGTTTTGGTATTTTAGGAGGTTTTCTTGGCTAGAATTTTTTTGTAGCACTTGATGAGATTAGAATTCCTTTCTGAAAAGAACAAGAAGTGTTTCTAAATCTGCAGAGTATTTGTATTTAATATACTCTTTCAATTTTATATTTAAATGTTGACTTTGAGATATTAATATAGAGTCTAAATTTTATTTCCAGGCTGATAATCGGAAAAGACACAAAGAAGAAAATAATGATCATCTCGATGACTTTAAAGCTGCAGAACATGCTTGGCAGAAGCACAAGCAGCTCAATGAATCTATCATTGTTGCCCTTTTTCAGGGTCAATTCAAATCCACAGTACAGTGCCTCACCTGCCACAAAAAGTCTAGGACATTTGAGGCTTTCATGTATCTGTCTCTACCACTAGCATCTACAAGTAAATGTACATTACAGGTAAGTTTAGGATTGAGAGAAAATGATTTGTTGAATAAAAATTATGTTCATATGCACATAGAGGTGTATTTTATTCAGTAATTTATTTCTCTTGTTTGCCCATAAACATTTTATAGGTTAAAACTTAAACAAAAATTTTGTTTTAATTAGGCCTCTGTAGATTAGGAAAAAACCAGCATTTTTAAAAAGAAATTTTCCTTTTTAAAAGATATTTTCCTATAAAATATTCTTTTAGAGTTAATCATTTTTTTAAAGTTTGTATTTATTGAAGAAGTTTTAAAAGTTAATTTGGAAAATTGTATGTTGACTTTAATTTAGGTACAGTTTTATAGGAATTTACTCTACATGGGTATATCAAATAAATATGTTTTGCAGACAAGAGCGGTGTGATTTAGAGAGCTTGTTGACACCCTTTAGTGTTGGCTCCCTGTGAGTCAGAACTTCCTGAGCCACCGGGTAGAAGTTCCTCAGTGCTCTCAGGGCATGCAGGACTCCTTCCCTCCACCATAGGCAGCACCACCACTCACCACACTCTGTCACTGTCAGCTCCCATCTGGGTCTGCATCCCTCACTAGATCATAAACTTTGTGGGGGCAGGAACTGTTTTGTAAGAGTTTACTGTTGTATTCCTCATGCCTGGCAGAGTAACTTATTGAATAGATGCTCAGGAATACTGTGTTGAAAATATTAACAAGTGTCTACTACTTGTTTTTGCCTCCAGGATTGCCTTAGATTATTTTCTAAAGAAGAAAAACTCACAGATAACAACAGGTTTTACTGCAGTCATTGCAGAACTCGACGGGATTCGCTAAAAAAGATAGAAATCTGGAAGTTGCCACCTGTACTTTTAGTGCATCTGAAACGGTAAAAGGGACACATTTTTCTTAGTGTTTAGTACTTTTTAGTTGAAGGACTTCTAAGTCTTTTATTCTAAACAATTTGTTTTACTACCTGCTTAGGATATATAACAAAGGAAGATTATCTGGTTAGGGTATCTCTAGGGAAACTAGGCAGAAATGATGAGATTCTAGTTCACCTTAGTGTTTGTAATAACAGGGCAAAGTGACAGCATCATTCTTTCATATAATTCTGTTTTTAAAAATCGGTGAAACTAGCGGGGAGGGGTAGATTGGGAGTTTGAAATTGACATGTACACACTGCTATATTTAAAATGGATAACCAAGAGAATTCCCTGGTTTCCCAGTGGTTAGGACTCTGCACTTTCACTGCCGAGGGTGTGGGTTCAGTCCCTGGTCGGGGAATTAAGATCCTACAAGCCACGCAGCACAGCCAAAAAAATTAAAAATAAAAAATAAATAAAATAGATAATGAGTAAGGACCGACTGTATAGCACAGGGAACTCTGCTCAATATTCCATAATAACCTAAATGGGAAAAGAATTTGAAAAAGGATAGATACATGTATATGTGTAACTGAATCACTTTGCTGTACACCCAAAACTAACACACTGTTAATCAATGATACTCCAGTATAAAATTTTAAAAATAAAATCAGTGAAACTAAATTATTGCATTTCAAACATGAAAATTTTAAATCATTACAAAGCATTCAGTGAAAAGGTATAAAAATAATGTTATACAGTATAACTCTAACACTATTAGATAAAATTTATCATTCAAACAATATAGTAAACATAACAAAAAATTAATACTGTGCTGAAAATGAATTGAGTTTTTTTAAAGTGTAATTTTTAAAGATAAAACATTAAGGATGCCATTGTAGAGTGCAGACATATTTTTGCCCATATTTTTCCAGCCAATGAAAAAGATCTGGACCTATAGCAGTAGAAGAATAATGGCGAGAGAGTTGTAAAACATGGGCCAGGTCTTTTGCTCTGATTCTTTGTCTTTATGGTATCCATCTGTGGAGTGATAACTTTAAGTCATTTTTTGGAAAAACTTTAAAAGGAAGTTTCATCTGTTTATTGAGAGCTCTAATTTTTGTTTCAAAGAAAGGATTTCTTTTTAATTTTTTGTTTCATCTTATATTATTGGAGATTCTTAGGCAGTTATTTGTGTTAATTTCTACATTGATATGTTCAAATTCCTCTTGTGTAAATTTTCTAACAGAAGCTTATATCAGTTGTCCTTTTCTGCTTCTTGCAGACTGTGGAGGTATAAACATTCTATAAATGATTACACATTTGTTCTGTTAAAATTTTTAATGCTGTGTATTACTCTTGGAGAATATAAAAGTATAAATGGTTCAGAGTTCATTTTTTAAAAAATAATTCTGAAATAACCATATTACACCAACCAAAATACCAGTATTTTGGTGTGTAAAGAAGCAGAATAGGGTGGGAGGGAGGGAGACAAAGAGGGAAGAGATATGGGAACATATGTATATGTATAACTGATTCACTCTGTTATAAAGCAGAAACTAACACACCATTGTAAAGCAATTATACCCCAAAAAAGATGTTAAAAAAAAAAAAAATCACAAGGAAAAAAAAAAAAAAGAAGCAGAATATGTCAGGATAATGGAATGCCATTATTTCAGTCACTAATTTATGTGCTTGCAATTACCAGCTCTAGTGTCCCCAAAAGTACAAGCTTAAATCTAGAGCAGCTCTCCTCTGTCATTCCTCTGTACTTTTGTGGTGATTAGCATTATAAATGGGGGTTTTCATAACTTTTTACCTTTGTAGAAGACTAATCTAATAGCTTTAGCTGGTCTAGGGATTAAGGGACCAAGGTATGGCCCTACCTCTACCACTCTAGCTGTTTGACTGTGGTTAGACATTTAACTCATTACTGATGGGGGATTTTTGCAGAAACTAACGCCTGCGGCTGGCGATTTGTTATGTAAATGAATATTGAAATGCCTACAGTCAATACGTTTGGGTAACAAAAGACATATTAATACGTCTCTGGTCAATAATGTGTTAATATCTGTGTATGGCAGTTTCTTCATTTGTAAAACAAATGAAACCAAGTACAGCAAGTCCCCTATATACGAACGAGTTCTGTTCTGAGAGTGCATTTGTAAGTCCAGTTCATTTGTAAGTCCAACAAAGTTAGCCTAGGTACCCAACTAACTCCACTATATAGTAATAGGCGTACTGTAGTAGGTTTATAATACTTTTCACACAAATAATACATAAAAAACAAACACAAAAAATAAAACAGGGCTTCCCTGGTGGCGCAGTGGTTGAGAGTCCGCCTGCCGATGCAGGGGACACAGGTTTGTGTCCCGGTCCGGGAAGATCCCACATGCCGCGGAGCCTGCACGTCCGGAGCCTGTGCTCTGCAACGGGAGAGGCCACAACAGTGAGAGGCCCGCATACTGCAAAAAATAAAATAAAATAAAACATTTTTAATCTTACAGTATAGTACCTTGAAAAGTATAGTAGTACAGTACAACAGCTGGCATACACGGGCACATTCACATCTTTGGAAGTTCACAGTTTGAAGATTCGTATGTAGGGGACTTACATTATCTTTTTCTTCTTCTTTTTTTCTTTTTTTTCTTTTTTGGCTGCACCACACGGCATTTGGGATCTTAGTTCCCCGACCAGGGATCGATCCCACGCCCCCTACATTGGAAGCACCGAGTCTTAACCTCTGGACCACCAGGGAAGTCCGAAACCAGGTGTCTTTAACAGGTTCCTCCACTATTAAAATTCTGATTGTGTGTTTGAAATGGATTTTTTGGTCCTGTCTAAAAATCTGGATTGTTAATGAATGAATTAGGGTTCATTCTGATGTCTTTGGTCTGTCAGTGTAATTGCTGTAATGTTATGCTCTACAGTTTTTCCTACGATGGCAGATGGAAGCAAAAATTACAGACATCTGTGGACTTCCCATTAGAAAATCTTGACTTGTCACAGTATGTTATTGGTCCAAAGAACAATTTGAGGAAATATAACTTGTTTTCTGTTTCGGTAAGTATCTCATTAAACTAAATACATTTTCTTTCGAAGCAAACTAAAAAACCCAGTTTCAAGTGGTTCCTTACCTCATAGGAAAGGACAACATAAGCCTTTGAAATTATTGACATATTTTAAATAATTCAATTTGATTTGATTTTCTGTCTTGTTTGGCACAGAATCACTATGGTGGGCTGGATGGAGGCCACTACACTGCCTATTGTAAAAATGCAGCAAGACAGCGGTGGTTTAAATTTGATGATCATGAAGTTTCTGATATTTCCGTTTCTTCTGTGAAATCTTCAGCAGCTTATATCCTCTTTTATACGTCATTGGGACCACGAGTAACTGATGTAGCCACATAAGGAGAAGTAGGTTTTAAGCTAGTTATCTTTTAACAGGCTGAGCAACACAATTCTTGAAATGCTTAAAGATTCTGGATAGCTATAGCTGGCCATTTAAAGGAATTCTAGGACAGTGAGAGTTGTGTTACTATACCATATACTTCAGGTCAGTGCTATTATCAAAAAACTGACCAAGAACATTTAACAAGTATTGCAGTAAGCATTCCTTACAGGTACCATTTATTTCAAAACAACATTTTTAGTTTGCTCCAAAGTTAAAATAATTAGCTAAGCATAATTATTCCACTAGTCTAAACACCATTGTATCCTTTATTTTCCTTTTTACTGTTATGGCCTTTTCACATTTCTAAATCCCAGCTTGATCTATGAATACTCTAGAATGATGTAAAACAGATAGGAATGTATGTGTATATATTTATTGCACACTTGCACATCAAATCGATGTACATAGTATAATATGTGGTCCTTTTGTGAAGCCTAGAACTCAGAGGATTGCTTTTTTTTTTTTCTTTCCTTTTGGCCTATTCTGAGTAATTGCAGTGCTTTCTTAGGGAAATCACAGGGCAAAGCTATTTTTCTGTTGGCTTTGGGCTGTATTTGTGCACTAAATCTTTATTCTAAAAAAATAAATGGAAACTTTTCTTTAATTTTTTAAATGAGAATTTTCATTTACACCTACATTAAAATCTTAATGAGAAAAATAATTTAAAACCCTGTAAGTGTTCTGTCTTTAATTTTATATTATTAAACATAGAACAGTAGAATTACAGATTTTATACATACACTCTTTATACCACTACAGTGACTTAAAATTTAGTACACTTATTCCTTTGCATCACTTGATTCCACTCATCCTTTACCTTGACCCTGAACTGCATATAGCACTTATGATTCTCTCAGAGTTGGGAGTCAGAGTAAGATGTAAATAACTTAATGCCCAGACTCATTCTATCAAGAGTAGTAGAATTCTTAGTATTAAGATAAAAAGAGATGAGTCAGACATGACTGCAAAGTGAACTGCATTATAAACCACATCTTTAGAAAGTGATGTATTAAAAGGGATAGAGGAGCTTAGAATTTATCATTTACCTCAGGGACTTAGTTGTTATAGGTAAAGTCAATATATAACACTCCATATAAAAACAAAATTCTAAAGGTGCTTCTGAAAGATGTCACCGTTAGTGGACTCCCAGGAAGAAGATGAAAGGAAGGTGTTGAATTGTGAAACTGACAACTTTTCATGTTCTACAATTAGTCTGAGAGATTATAGTTTCTTGCCTAAATTATCTGAACAATTAAATATTTTCAAATCACATTCCTAACCTCACAGAGCCACTTGAACAAAAGTTATTTTGGTTTAGCTCCATGAAGTACCTTTGGAAAATAATTTGTTGGATATATATATAATTATTATGAGATAGTTTATGATAAAAATACACACTAATGAACACTGTACTTTGAAACCTGAACATAATACTTACAATCTGATTGCTTTGAAGGTCCCCATTCGTTAGCATTGCATCATTTTCATGCTGCCTTTTTCAGTGGGCCAGGACCCATCTTTTTATAGACTTACCTTGTGAAGGTTGCATAACAACATGCCAGAAAGACTTAAAAATGTCAGTGATGCAAGTAAGTTGCAAGAGTTTTAATGACAAAGCAAAACTTAAGTACTAGGTTCTAATTGCTAGTTTTGCAATTTTCTGGAAACACCATTTTCCTAGCTCTTGCGTTTTTGTATAGGTATAGAAAAGGGCTGGCAGCTATAGAACAGGAGATATGCTGTAGTGGTTTGAACTGAAGTATCTGGAATCTCACTGACTCGTGTGTCATCAAAGTTATACCAGGCGTGAGTCACTGAGTTTTTGCAGAAAGCAGTGTAGTGGCCACCATCCAGATCACCAAAGTGGTTCTAGGGGAGAAAGGAATGTCACGCAGTATTTACATTTGAATACTTTAACTATTAGAACCCAAACGATAGAGCCAAGAAATATTTTTATAATTGTCCCTTATACTGGATTAAAAGCTAAATCATACGTTACGTTAAATCATACATATAGCCTGACTGGTATATTTTTCATGTCACTGAAATGGTTATATATTGTGTCCATCAATTATTTAATAGACTGTGAATGAAACAGGATAGTATTTGGCATCTTCTAATATTTATCAGTTAATACTTACTGAGCACCAACTGTACATAAACTATTAAAACATCAAAGGAAATTTTAAAATAAGAAAATAGTCATGTTTCCTAAATGAGCTTATAGTTTAATTTTGAAGACAGTCTAAGATAGACATGAAAAAAGACATTTAACATTGGAACAAGACATTAAAACAACTGCATACTGCTACCACACAATTTGAGGAGGTTGTACAGCAACAGCTCCCTTGGTCATCAAAGGCCCAGAAAAGAACCTGTTCTATTCTCTTTTTCCCATGTCTTCCCTAACCCAGTAAAGCAATGTTTGAAACAAAGGCATTGGAGAACCTCACTTCTCAGAAGGTGGTATGGCATAGAGCAGGGGTTGACAAACCATTTGCCCATGGGTCAAAGCCAGCCTGCGGCCTGTTTTTATATGGCCTGTGAACTGAGAATGCATTTTATATTTTTATATGGTTGAAAAAAATCAGAATAATAATATTTTGTGATGTGTGAAAATTATATGAACTTCAGATTTTTCAATGTCCTTAAATAAAGTTTTATGGGATCATAGCCATGCTCACTTGTTTATGTTTTTAAGTGGCTGCTTTCACACTACAACAGTAAAGTTGAATAGTTACAAGAGAGACCATAGAATACATGGCCTGCAAATCCTAAAATATTTACTATCTAGCTTTTTAAGATTGCTGACCCCTGGGGTAGAGGGAAGAAAATGGATTTTTCTAGTCAGCTCTATGAATTCAGCTCTAATACTACACAATGACCTTAAGGAAATTATTTAACCTTTCTGAGCTTTAATTCCCCTATCTTTTAAAATGGGTAATAAGACCTTGTCTTATACAACTACTATCTCTCTTATAGTGCTACCACATAGGAGGTACTTATTAAGTGTTCCCTTAGACCTTCATCTTCCACACATCTCCTGTTAACTCTTAAAGAAATATCCCAAAGCAGACATTTTAAAGATTCAGACTCTGGTCCTGGTCTTGGCCATGTGACCTTAAGTTGATATGCTTAAACTTCCTTATTTATAAAATGGTGCTCATAATAGTGTGATGTAATTTGAGAAAAACAAAACATCTGGTGGATCCAGATGATGAAGTAATGTTCTAAAGTGACTAGACAGATTATGGCTGGAATATGTTCTGTTTTGATGACAATGTAAAGAAAAAAAAATTGACATAGTAGAATAGGGTAGGGTGAAGCATCATTCTAGACTTCCATTCTCAGTAATTTTGGCAGACAATTAGCCTGAAAGCCTTAGTTACGAAACTGTAAAGGATGCTCGATAGGGACGTCCCTGGTGGCACAGTGGTTAAGAAACTGCCTGCCAATGCAGGGGACACAGGTTCGAGCCCTGGTCCAGGAAGATCCCACATGCCGCAGAGCAACTAAGCCCATACACCACAACTACTGAGCCTGCACTCTAGATCCCACAAGCCACAGCTACTGACTCCATGCACCTAGAGCCCATACTCCGCAACAAGAGGAGCCACCGCAATGAGAAGCCCATGCACCACAACGAAGGGTAGCCCCTGCACACCATAACTAGAGAAAGCCCATGCACAGCAACGAAGACTCAACCAGCCAAAAAAAAAAGAATGCTGGATAAAACATGGTAAATACCCTTTGAAATATATGGCTAACTTTAAAGATTGTATAGTGAGAGTAATCTCCAGGGGCCAAGAACAGAGGAAATAAAAGATGAGCATGATGTGTGGTTAATGCTGTGACTGCCTGAGAGCAAAGACAGTTTCTGGTCCCTGGAACCACAGTGCTTGGGTTTTAAAGGTAACAGAAGGGCTGGAGGTAAAGTCCTAAGTCCCTGCAAGGTGAGGAGTTGGATTGAAATCCACACACATAGCCACAACCTCTTAAAGAGAGTCACCCTCAATAAAAGAATAAACTAGGGGGGAACAAATCCATCCTCCAGTGCTTAGCTTAGCTTAGGTTTTAGGTACAAAGAATAAAAGTCATTCCTGGAAAGTCGTTACCACAGACCTGGCTTCTCTTTGGTTGGGGATTCAAATTTACACTACTGTCTGTGTCTCAGAATCCTGTGAATTTAAGGTGAGAATGAAAAGTATTTTGGGGTTGCTTGGCAAAAGAAAAAGAATTACTTTCTGATTGACGCACCTTAATTCAGGCTGCACAGGATACCCACATATAAAAACCCAGTGATGCTGAACTCACAACTCAGTATTACAGAGCATACAAGGAAACAATTCACCATGAGTAAGAGTTAGAGGGCAATAAATAGCAAGATTAAAAACTCCAAGGGGACGAGGGGAAGATGGCGGAAGAGTAAGACGCGGAGATCCTCCCCACAGATTCACCAGAAATACATCTACACGTGGAACAACTCCTACAGAACACCTACTGAACGCTGGCAGAAGACCTCAGACCTCCCAAAAGGCAAGAAAACTCCCCATGTAGGGCAAAATAAAAAAGTATAAACAGAGACAAAAGAATAGGGACCTGCACCAATGGGAGGGAGCTGTGAAGGAGGAAAGGTTTCCACACGCTAGGAAGCCCCTTCGCGGGCGGAGACTGCAGGTGGCAGAGTGGGGTAGCTTCGGGGCCGCAGAGGAGAGCACAGCAACAGGGGTGCGGAGGGCAAAGCGGAGAGATTCCCGCACAGAGGATCAGGGCCGACCAGCACTCACCAGCCTGAGAGGCTTGTCTGTTCACCCACCGGGGTGGGCAGGGCTGGGACCTGAGGCTCAGGCTTCAGTTGGAGTGTGGGGAGAGAGGCCTGGGGTTGGCGGCTAGAACACAGCCTGCAGGGTGTTAGTGCACCACGGCTAGCCAGGAAGGACTCGGGGGGAAACGTCTG